TCCTACAGACTAAGGGGGTGACCATGGGCACCCGCGTAGGCCCAAGCTATGCCTGCCTCTTCCACTGTTACACTGGCACTATCCCCCACCTCTTCTTCTGCTACATCGATGACTGTATCGGCGCTGCCTCGTGCTCCCACGACGAGCTCAAACAGTTCATCAACTTTACTAACACTTTCCACTCCAACCTCAAATTCACCTGGACCATGTCCGATACCTCTCTCTCCTTCCTGAACCTCTCTGTCTCAATCTCTGGTGACTGCCTTGAAACTGATATCTATTTCAAGCCCACCAATTCCCACAGCTACCTGGACTACACCTCCTCTCACCCACCCTCCTGCAAGAATGCAATCCCCTACTCCCAATTCCTCCACCTCCACCTCCACTGCATCTGCTCCCAAGATGAGGCATTCCACTCCCGAACATCCCAGATGTCCTCGCTTTTCAAGGACCGCAACCTCCCCCATTCTGGTGATTGAAAATGCCCTCAACTGTATCTCTTGCGTTTCCTGTACCTCTGCCCTCACATCCCCTCCCCCCAACAAAAACAAAGACAGAATCCCCCTTGTGCTCACGTATTACCTCACTTATCTCCATATCCAACGTATCATTCTCCGACACTTCCGCCACCTACAATCCAACCCCACAACCAAATAAATATTTCCCTCCCCACCCCTATCTGCCTTTCGTAGGGACCATGACTCCCATGCCTGCTCCACACTCCCCACTAGCCCCACCACCCCCGACACCTTTCCCTGCAACTGCAGAAAGTGCTACACCTGCCCCTCCACCTCACCCCTCACCCCCATTCAAGGCACAAAACAAACTTTCCACATTAGATACGGTTCACCTGCACATCATCAAATTGGCCTACTGCATCTGCTGCTCCCAATGTGGCCTCCTCTACATTGGTGAGACCAAGTGGAGGCTTATAGACCGTTTTGTAGAGCATCTGTGCTCTGTTCATGACAAACGACAACACCTTCCAGTCGCCAATCATTCTAACTCCCCCTCCCACTCCCTGGGTGACATGTCCATCCTGGGCCTCCTCCAGTGTCACAATGACACCACCCGCAAATGGGAGGAGCAGCATCTCATATTCCACCTTGGCAGCCTACAGCCTGGTGGCCTAAACATAGAATTCACCAGTTTTAAAATCTTCCCACCCCCGGCCTCATCCCATGTCCAACCCTCTCTCTCATCCCCGACTCCTTGACCTGACACAACCCGTCCATCTTCTCTCCCACCTATCTGCCCCTCCCACCTCACTGACCAGTCCCCACCACTGTCCACCTGCACTCACCTATCACCATCCCACCTACCTTCCCCAGCCCGACCCTCCTCTCTTTATTTATTTCTGAGCTCCCTTCCCCCTCCCCCATTTCAATAGAAGGGTCCCAACCCGAAACATCAGCTTTCCTGCTCCTCTGATGCTGCCTGGCCTGCTGTGTTTCTCCAGCTCCACACTGTGTTGTCTCCCCACCAGGATATTGCTTAGGGTGGAGCATTTCAGCGATGGAGAGAGGCTGGATAAGGTTCTTTTCTTTGGAGCAGAGAAGGCTGAGGGGATAATGGTAGAGGTGTAAAGGATTATTAGGGGCATGGATAGGGTGAATAGGAAACAGCTGTTCCCCTTCAGCACAGGGCCAATAACAAGGGGTATGATTTTCAGGTGAAGGACGGGAGGGTTAGAGAGGATTTGAAGAAAAGGCTTTCTACCCAGATGGAGGCAGGGGTCAGAAATGCACTGCCTGGAAGGGGTGTTAAGGCAGGAAACCTCACAATCTTTGAAAAGCATTTGGATGAGCACTTGAATTGTCACAACATTTAGGGCTATGTGCCTAGTATAGGAAAGGGGGACTAATGTAGAGATAGTAGGAACTGCAGATGCTGGAGAATCCGAGACAGAAAGGTGCAGGGCTGGATGAACACAGCAGGCCAAGCAGCATCATAGGAGCAGAAAGGCTGACGTTTCAGGGGTTAGGTTTTATTGGTGCATACTCGAGGGGCCTGTTCTGTACTGTATGATTATATAATTCCATGAAACAAAACATCTGTATCTTTATAGTCCAACCCCCTTGTAATAAATGACAGCATTCCATTTGCCTTTATAATCTTTGGCTGTGCCTGGGAACTAGCTGCTTGTGATTTCTGTACAAGGCTACGCAGATCCCTCTACCTCTGAGTTCTACAATCTCTCCCCATTTAAATAATCTGCTTCTTTTTTTCTTTCTCCTACCAAAATGAACAAGTTCATTTACAAATCATACATCTGCCAAATGTTTGCCCACTCGCTCAACCTATCTGTACCACTTTGCAGAAATGTGATGACCTCTTCATAACTTATTTTCCTATTTGCAGCAGCAGCAGATTTAGCAAATATGCGTTTAGTCCCTTCATCCAAGTCATTGATATAAATTGTAAACTAGTGAAGCCCCAACACTGATCCCTGTGGCACTTCACTCATCATATCCTGCCAACTCAAAAATGACTCTTTTTTTGCCTACCTCTGCTGACTATTAGCCAACCAATCCTTTGTCCTTGGTAATATATTGCCTCCTGTACCATGACCCCTTATTCTGAGTAAAATAACCTTTGATGTGGCACCTTGTCAAGTACCTAATTGTGGTTTATAAGATGTTGAAGGAATTGACAAAGTAGATGTAGAGAGGGTGTTTTCTTATTTGGGACAATCTAGAATAAAAGATCATAGTTTTATGATAAGGGATAGCAGATTTAAAACAGAAATGAGGAGGAATTACTTCTCTCAAAAGGTCATGAATCTGTGGAATTCACTCTCCCAAAGTGCAGTGGATGCTGGGACATTGAGTAAATTTAAGGAGGAGATAGACAGATGTTTAATTGGTAATGGGTTGAAAGGTTATGGACAGTAGGCAGGAAAGTGGAGTTGAGGACGAGATGAGATCAGCTATGAATGGTAGAGCAGGCTCAAGGGGCTGAATGGCCTCCTCCTGCTCCTAGTACTTAGATTTTGCAAACTATATACAGTACATCTGTTGGTTCCCCATTATCACTGTTGCTTGTTAATTCCTCAAAAATTTCTAATAAATCAGTCAACTGTGATATTTCTTTCAAAATAATCTGCCTGATTGCATTAAGGTTTTGTTAAACGTCCAGCTATAATTACATTCATAATAGATTCCAATATTTTTCCAATGATAGATATTAGGCTAACCAGTCTATCACTTCCTGTTTCCTGCCTTTTCTTTCTTCAGTAGAATTCAGGACAATTGAAAGCAATGTGTCAACCATTTCAGCAGCCACTCCCTTTTCATGGCCTTATGCGAAGTCCATCCGGGTCAGGGGACTTGTCAGATTTTAGTCCTACAAATCTCTGATAACCCTTTGCCTGGTAATTGTTGTTATTTTCAGTTCTGTAATTCCCTTTCACCTCCTGATTCAGAGCTAGTTCTGGAATGTTATTCATTTCCTCTACAATTTGGACACACACCTATCTGTTCAGTTCATCTGCCATTTCCTTATTTTCTATTATGAATTCCCAGACTTTGCCTGTAGAAGACACAATTTTATGTTTTTAAAATACCTGTTGAAACCCTTTTTATCTGTTCTCATATTTCTAGCCAGCTTTCTCTCATATTTTAATTTCTCTTACATTCCGCACTGTTTAATGGACACTGTCTCTGCTTTTTACAGCTTAATGACACTTCTGCCATCATTTAATCTGGTCTGAAGGGATGTGTGAGACTGAATGGAATGAAGGAACAGATGATACATTAATGGAGGGTTTGGGAGTGTAGTGGTTATATAGATATTAGGAGCTAGCAATCCGTGAGAAATATGAGTTTTATGAAGTGCTGTTCATTGAAATAAAACTCCACATAAAAATGTGGTTTTGGACTCTGTTTAGAAACATTTACTTTCCATCGTACTTTCACTCTGCTCTCTCACTGGTTAATGGACTGCTTCATCATTCTGCTCTATGTAAAGGATACTCCTTCCATTCTCTTGCTGTTTACTGGTCTGTCTCCACTCTGTCTACCTCCCCCACTTGGTTCTATTGCTAAAACCAGCACAGTGGGCACTTATAGAGATCCAGCATAGACACAATATGCTATCTAGCCTCTATCTGCACTGTATGAAAACTGAAAGAACTGCAGATGCTGTAAACCAGGAACAAAAACAGAAATTGCTGGAAAAGCTCAGCAGGTCTAGCAGCATCTGTGAAGAGAAATCAGAGTTAATGTTTCAGGTCCAGTGACCCTTCCTCAGAACCAGGGGAAGGGTCACCTGATTCGAAACGTTAACTCTGATTTTTTCTTCACAGATGATGCCAGACCTGCTGAGCTTTTGTAGCAACTTCTGTTTTTGTGTCCTTCTGCACTGTATCTGAACTCTGATGTTACATGATATCCCCCATCCGTGCACTGCACTGCTCCAACTTCTGCATCATCTGTTTTTCCCAACGATCTCCCACATCTTTACAACCCAGTCTGAAGCTGTAGGTCACATCCTGAGCTTCACAAGGGATGGGCATCACCATGTCTCCCCACCACCCTCTGATAGCACAGCTGCTTGATTTTTGACCATTACTTTGAGCTGTCTATCTGGCCTCTCCGCCAGCTGCCTTGTGATCTGGAGCTGATAGCCTCCTCCTGACCTCGCCACCCTCTGCTTCATCCAAGTGTCTATTCCTTCACTCACCATCCTCCATTCACTCTGAAACTCCCTCCCCAAATCCCTCTGCACTGCCACCAGTTTTCAAATCTTCCAATTTTTTGTTTAAACATGAGTGGACCTTCAGTTCTCTCAGATCTTTAACTCCACTTCCACTCTTCACTCTTTCTTTCTGTGCATTCTGTCCCTGAGCTTCTAGCATTAACACTGTCTATCAGCACTGGATACACAACAGGAGTACTCTCAGATACATTTCATACCAACTCTCCCAAATGGAAGCAAAGAGATTTAACTTTAGTAGGAGAGAGATGTATCAAATATTTATTCAGGTTTACCTTATTCAGGTCCAATTGCTTCAATTGCCTGTGGCAAGCTGGGGGATCGATGGACTTCAATTCTCGGAGCTGTCCTCGTGAGTGGTGGATTTCTTATCAGCATCCTGGCCACTAGCGTGCTCTTCCTTTATGTATCCCTCGGTGCTGTTGTTGGTAAGAATCATTAGTTCTGCTTTTAAAAGGTGTCCTACACATAAATATCTTCACCTTCTTTAAGAGGGACTGCTCCCTCATTCCATTGGTTCTTCAAGAGGTCAATTTTCAGTACAGTCAAAGAATAATCTTACATCCTTCTGTGATGTCATATTGTAAAAATCAAAGTGTTCATGTGCACCTCCTTATAGAACATGAAAAGAATCCGCCATTAAGAAACTTACAAGAGATGAAGAATTAGACACCGGTGTAGGCCATTCAGCCCTTTGAGCTGCTCTGCCTTTAGATGTGACCATGGCTGATTGAATTGTAACTTCAACTCCATTTTCCTGTCTGCCCCATAACCCTTGATCTTTTTGTTGATCAAAATCTGTCAAACTGAGCCCTGAAATATATTCAGTGACTAAACCTCCACTTCTCTCTAGAGAAGAGAATTTCCACAATGAAAGACCCTCTGAGAGAAAACTTTTCCATTCCTCAGTCTTAATTGGGAGACACTGAATTTTTAAACTGTCTCTCCTAGTACTAAATTTTTCCCACAACGTGAGACGATATCACAGCCTCTACTCTGTCAAATATAAGGGGAGGCAATGGCCTAGTGGTATTGTCACCGGGCTGTTAAATCAGAGACCCTGATAGTGTTCTCAGGACCCAGTTCAAATCCTGCCATGGCAGATGGTGGAATTTGAATTCAATAATAATCTGGAATTAAAAATCTAACAATGACTGTGAATCCATTGTTGATTGTTGGGGAAAAAGCCATCTGGTTCACTAATGCCCTTTAGGGAAGGAAACTGCCATCCTTACCTGGTCTGGCCTACATGTGACCCCAGACTCACAGCAGTGTGGTTGACTCTTAACTGCCCTCTGGGCAATTGTGGATGGGCAATAAATGCAGCCTAGCCAGTAATGCCCTCATCCCATGAATGAATAAAGAAAAAAAATCCCCTCAGGATCTATATTTTTCTGTTAGATCAACTTTCATTCCTCTAAACTCCAATGGATACAGACCCTGAACCTGCTGAATGCTTTCTTATAAAGTAATCTGTTCATACTAGACATCAGTTCAATGAACCTTCTCTGAATTTTTTTTATTTCAAAATGTACTTTATTCATATAAATATCATGATACATCATCACAAACGCAGTTCAGTTCTGTACAGTAGCATATCAAGGGAACAAACATTAGAGTTTGACTTTCTCCAAACAATCCAAGGCATCTCTTACTTGAACCAGACTATATTTACATGCATTTGAGGCACATCCTTTCATTAGTGAACAAGGCAATACTTCACACAGCCCTCGAGCTGTAATTTCACTAAGACCCTGTATATATGTAGCAGCATGTTCCTAATTTTATTTTCCATTATCCTTGCAGTAAACAATTATATCTGATTTAAATTCTGCATACTGGTTTTTTGAGATTTATATATCAGGATGCCCAGATCCTTCTGCACCTCAGAGTTTTACAATCTCTCCCCGGTTAAATAATTAGTGTTTCCTGCCAAAATAAGTAACTTCACATTTTCCTGTATTATACTCAATCTGATGAATTTTAGCCAATGTACTTCACCCACTGTATCACTCTGCAGGCACCTTATGTACCTCTTCACAACTTATTTTCCTATCTATCTATCCATCATCAGCAAATTTAGCTACAAAACCTTCAGTCCCTTCAACTCATTGCTAATATAAATTGTAAACACTGATTCCTATGACACACCACTTGCTACATGCTGCCAACTTGAGAATCACCTAGTACATATTTGCTGCTACCTGTTAATTAACCAATCCTTTATCTGTGCTACTATGTCCTCGTATACCATGAGCTCTTATTTTGTGTAAAGAACTGACTAGAGCTCCCTAATCAGTTTTTAAAAAAGCATATATTTGCACATCAAATGTTTATAAAGCAAAACCTCATACCAATGCAATAAGACAACAAATGGCCAGACACTTGATCGAAGGGTAAATGTCCTGGAATATCTTAAATGAGGAAAGAGAGATCGAGAGTCAGAGAGGTTTAGGGAGAGAAATCCAGAGCTGAGGGTCTAGGTAGCTGAATTCACGACCACCAATCAAGGAGTGAAGAGGCTAGAATTAGAGAGCTTGGAGCTTGTAGAGATTACAGACATGAGGAGAAGTGAGGTCACAGGAGATTTTGAGGTTAGGTGATTTCAATGTGATAAGACAGAGACTGTATACAATAAACTGCAAAAATTGTTTAGAGTTAGAGAGTTCAGCATGTGCTGTCCAAATGTGGAATCACTTTTAACAGAAGACATTCTGTTTTGGATTTTGAGAGTGTAGGATGTTTGGGTGCACTCTGTACACTGTTCATACAAATAGCCAGAGGAACATACTGTTTGATTCGATAAGCCAGTCGCTAGGACATATGGCCAACTTACTTATTTAGCATTGAAGCTGAACAATCTAGAGTGCGTACACAGCTACGCCAACAACCAATTTCACATCATCAGCTGAGCTTGTCAACATGGCTTATTACTGTTTGCAAAAACCAACATATATTCAGGGATCTGTTTTGGTTAGCAAAAGGAAATGTTCCAAACCTGCACCTTTTTTTGAATTCATGGATTATCATCATAGGATCCCTACAGTGTGTAAACAGGCCATTTGGCCCAGCAGATCCACACCAACCCTCCAAAGAGCATCCCACCCAGACCTATCCCCCTTCCCTATCCCTGTATTCCCTATGGCTAACCCACCTAACCTACACATCCCTGAACACTATGGACAGTTTAGCATGGTCAATCCACCTAACACACACCTTTGAACTGTGGGAGGAAACCAGAGCACCTGGCAGAAACCCATACAAACACAGGGAGAATGTGCAAACTCCACACAGACAGTCGCCTGAGGCTGGAATCGAACCCAGGCCCCTGGCG